TATACTTTATGTAAGAAATCGAATGCCTTTTTATAAATAAAAATCACTTTTAAAAAAAATGTGTATTTGCTTCTTATCTCTGTCACAAAGGAATAATTTTGGAATCACGAAGTGGCGTATCTGACTTTGAACATAAGTAATAATCTATGCAAATATTACATAATATGTCAAAATACATTAAAACTAAAAAAATGTATGTTTAATTTAATACTAAATGAAATAATATAGTTTTGAAAACGGACGTCTCTTTCGTTTTTACGCCGCTCTCTTGTAAAATTATTAAAATACTAGTTACGGTAGTTCGTGTTTTTAGGGACAAATTGTGTGTATAGTTTTAAAGCTTCGTTTTTTTATTTACACTTGTAAATAAATTCTGTAATTATGTATTATTTAAATATTTGTGATTTAAGGCAAAAACATGTTTACAAATTTTAATTAGCCGTATTTTCCATGCTCATACGTGTGTGAATAATGGAACAATGTGCGCGTTTACTAGCCACATGACGTCATGCGCAGAGTTGAACGAAAATGAGACCTTTTAGTATCATATCTTATAAGTTTACTGTATAATGGTCGCTATAAGCTACTCCCTACGTCCAATGTGTCAGAGCCAACTTCGACCACATTTTTTTTTGAACGCTCGTTACATGAAGGGTGGACACTGCTATATTAGTACAGTTATTGAAGCTGAAAATCAGCTGTAACCTCCGAATTCTTTGAAACTGCCTGGATTTCCATCAGAATTTAGAATAAGGCTTATCTTAGGCTCAAGTTCAAAAGTGACATAAGCCCGATTGACGCTTTTTGTTTTTTAGGGGTAAAAACTACCCTTAAGTGAAAAAAATTGAAAAAATTAAGTTTTAAGCATTTTATTGATAAAGATCTTGTTCAAGCACAAAGATTAAATAATGTTCCATGTTCTCGAACATATTTAATGATATATTTGATCTTTTCGATCCTTTATTTAACCCCTAAAAACTACCCCTATGCAAAAAATAATGATGAAAAATTACTTTTTAAAGATTTGGAATGATTAAATCGTGTAATTCTTTAAAATAAAAGTTACTTTATAACTAATAAAAGAATTTTTCCCTTTCAACCCATAAAAACCTTTATTGCGAATGCCAGCCACCTACGATTAACACTTTAAAATTTCATATGAACCTCGATATGCATCCAATCACATTTAGCCATTTTTTCGAAAAACACTGCATATTTCGAAAAAATTTTAAGAGACAAAAAAGTTTTTAAATTCCCTGGAGTTTCTAAGGGGCTACTAATTAAAAAAAATTAAATATGCAACTAAAGTTCGGTGGCCCCAAAAGCAAGGGGGCCCCCGAGAAAGTGTCTTGTGGGGGCCCCTTGCCAAAAAGCTTATCAGCATCTCATTCTACATGTCATAAAATCCCTGTGTACCAAATTTGGTGGTTCTTGTGCGATAGAGCTCTGAGATATAAAAAAAATAAATTTTTAGGGGCTTGTTTCAAGGGGCTATATCTCCGAAAGGGGGCCGCACTTATCAAAAATAAAAAATACGGGTCCCTTAAATTTCTCTTAAGAATTTCTGACCAAATTTTGTTGCATTTATTTCGGGACACCCTGTATAATATAATAAGTATATAAAAATGAAAAAACCTATTTTGCTTTGAAAAAATGTCATTGTTTTTTTTACCATAACTCGGTTAATTTTGGAGCTATAGTATCCTACAAAAAAGCATTTTAAAGATAATTTCAAGAGCTGTAAAATCGTTTGCATATAAAACCTTTTAAGTCCTTCGTTTTTAAAGGGAAAGATCGAAGTGCTCGAGACAAGTCGTTTTTTCACTAAAATGGATACTTCAAGCGGCGATGTCTCCTTTATTTTTATGCTATAGAAATAGAAAAAGCAAAATATTTGTTGAAAAAAAGCTACATTTTTGTTGTTTATCATTTTTTACGTACCTTCAGAGTTATTATAAAAATAAGGCAATTTTTTTTTAATAATGAAAAATACGTTTTCAACTTTTAACGTACATTATTAAAAAAATATGCATTCTAAACCGGTCTAACTTCAGGATCGTATGAAAAACACTAAAACAAAACTAATTGTTAAGGGTCTACGATTAATTTTAATTCTGATGGAAATGGTACAGCTTTACTGCTAATTTTTCCTTAAAAAATATGAGCAACCCATCTGTTTCTGACGATAACTCCTTCAATTTTGCTCTAATTAACTTTTATGCTCATTTTGAAGGTTTTTTTGAGTACTACAAAAAACTCCAGGAGCGTTATACACGTAAAATTAATCCTTTTTCCGTTATTTGACGTTGAATACATCGATTCGAGTATTCCCCCCAAAACAAGTCCCCTTCCACTAACCATATTTCGCTTTGTATAGGACGTACAACGCTTTTTAAAAAATGAATTTCTTTGTTTATTTATACGCTACATTTTTGTTCATTACACTTTTTTTAATAAAATGCATATTTTTTGAGTTGGTTTTTTCACTCAAAATTCCAAGTTTTCAATCGTGAATAACTAAAAAACTATTTCTAGAAAAAATTCTTCGAATATTTTTTGCTCAAAATCGGGTGTCAACCCCCAACAGGGTGGAAGCGTCAATCGGCGCTATGTCACTAATGTTCATTGACCTTTTCTCTAACTATCTGCCAAATTTCAAGCCGATCGGTTCAGTTTCAAAGAATTCGGAGGTGAAAAACTTCAATGACTGTACTATATTTTATTCTATTTTTCACAATATTACAAATATGTCATAGGTATGCTGTCAAATACAATATATATTCTCAGTTCTAGACAATGTTGTTTTTTCTTAGTCAATATTCGCAAAGCTGTTACTAGATTCGACAAATTGTACATTTACTAGTTTGTACATGTAATATTTTAGGTCGGCCCAGGAATATTTTGTGATATATCTTTCAGGTTACATGCTTTTGAGCATGGAGACAATCACCACCATCGGATATGGCTACCGCTACCCCACGGAGAAATGTGAAGGAGGCTGGATCCTCCTGATGATGCAGGTCTTGTTGGGCGTAGCAATACAGGGAGTTCTAGTCAGCACGGTCTACGTGAAGATATCGAAGCCCTTCTCTCGCGTGTCCATGTCAATTTTCAGCAAATCCGCAGTGGTAATTGTAATTTTTACCTGACAGTTTCTAGAATGACCAACTGACGTTCCAGATCTGCCTTCGCGACGGCAAGCTCCGCTTCGTGTTCAGGATACACGACTTCCACAAGAGGATTTGGTGCGGCACCAACATCTCCTTGTACTTCATGGACAAAGAACAGATTTACGACACCGAGTTCGAAATGGTGCAGATGGTGATCGAGCCGCATGGATTGCTGATATTTCCGTTGGAAATAGAGCACGTGATTGACGAGAACAGTCCCCTATGGACCTTCCGTCCTTTGGATATATTACAATCAAGGTTGTCAACGTTAAAGCTTTACCAGCTTGTTTTCTACACGTGTCGTTTGTTTCAGATTTGAAATAGTTGCAGTGGCGGAGGGCAGTTCGAATATAACGGGGCAGGTGTCGCAAAAAAGAACCTCTTATTCGAATTCGGATATTTATTGGGGTCAGAGATTTAAGCCGTGTGTGGACTATGACGAGACCAAGCAGGCTTACATCGTGGATTACAAGAAGTTCAAGCAGACTGTTCCTTTCGACACTCCACTTTGTAGCGCTAAAAAGTTACAAGATATAGAACGAAGGGTCACCGTAGCGGAAGAAAACGTCGCGAGCTGTTCAAAATCTTGGTAGTCTCTTAGACATTACAAGAAAGAATATAAATTATTTGAACTTGTCTCTTTGAGTGTCATAAATATTTTGTACAGTTATTTTTATAAACTATTCTGATAATTTAATTCATTTTTATCTACCATCGCGACAAACGTAAGGAACACAACTTCTCAAAAGCTATAGCTCCATACCTTTTAGATTTTTACTAAAATAAGACACGTAAGACAAGTTGAATCAAGTTACAATGCGTATGATGTCACGGTAGTAGTTCGATTGGCAATTCAAAACACTACAGACATGACGTCATGCAACATTTCGACTCTTTTGTCTTACTTAAAGAATTAATCATACTAAGCAAAAAGGGAAATGAAAGTACAAGGCAGTTATTTGGTTTTTATTATATACATATATTGATTTCAGTAAATCAGAACTGTATATCATAATTTACCATTTTGAATAAAAATTAACAAAATATAAATAAAACTGCTAAAAATAAAAAATACTTACAATTAGACGCAATATTATTAGACTTATACAGGAATATTTCCACAAATAATTCGTGAAAACAGAAAACCAATAGATGGCGCTGTTTCTGATAATAGCTCATCGATTTGTAGGAAATATAAATCATGATTTTAACTACATCACGTTTATGTGATGTAGTTCAAATATTGTAACAATTTAACAGCATTCTTTTGACTTGCTGCTATTGTTCCCAATACCAAAAATAAATTATAGCCTACACTTTTTTAGAGCACGTAAAGAATGTTGTCGAAAAAAATCTAATGTTAATCAAACACAAACATAAATGTTTCCCCTATGAGTGTGATTGTAAATTAACATAATAGTTGTCGCTCTTTCGTTATTCTCGCTAAAGTCCCTAGATTGAACAAGTACCGCAACCGATTGTTATTGGCAACTTGACATATGTGAATTTGAGTTATTTACCATAAAAAACTTACAAAACTCAGTTATTGTAGTGTTTTAGATCGAAACAAAACCTTCAAAGTATATGAAAATTAGTTTCAATTTTGGAAATAGATTTTATTTGAAAATGGCAGTTAATTGGAGTACTTTATCAGTATTTAGAGACTTTAATTCTCAGTAAAGTCCATAGTTCTACCAAATACCGCATTTTGCCACAAAATGGCAGTATATTTCGATACTTCATCAATATCTAGGGACTTTAATTTCCGTTTCTGCTAAAGTCCCTAGAATGTACAAGTATCTATTGTTCTTGGCAATTTGACATACGTCAACTTGAGCTATTTATATAAAAAACTTACAAAATCAAGTTATCGTTGTGTTTTAGATCGAAACAAAACCTTCAAAGTATATGAAAATTAGTGATTTAATTAGTTTAAATAGTTTCAATTTTGGAAATAGAGATTTATTTAGAGAAAATGGAATTGAAAGTATGTGAAAATTAGTAAGTTAATTGGTTTAAATAGTTTCAAGATTGACAGTTACATGGGGTACTTTGTCAGTATCTGGAGACTTTAATTCTTAGTAAAGTCACTAGTTCGACCAAGTACCGCATTTTGCCACAAAACGGGAGTAGATTTCGGTACTTTATCGATATCTAGGGATTTTAATTTCCGTTTTTGATGAAGTCCCTAGAATGAACAAGTATCGCAACCGATTGTTCTTCGCGATTTGACATATATCAATTTGACCTATTTATATAAAAACTTACAAAATTAAGTTATCGTAGTGTTTTAGATCGACACAAAACCTTTAAAGTACCTATATGTAAATTAATTATTTAATTAGTTTAAATAGTTTCAATTTTGGAAATAGAGATTTTATTTGAAAATGGCAGTTAATTGGGGTACTTCATCAGTATCTAGAGACTCTAATTTTCAGTAAAGTCCCAAGTGCCGCATTTTACCACCACATGGCAGTATATTTCAGTACTTTATCAATATCCAGGGACTTTAATTTCCGTTCTTGCTAAAGTCCCTAGTTCGACCAAATACCGCATTTTGCCACAAAATGGGAATAGATTTCGGTACTTTATCAATATCTAGGGACTTTAATTTCCGTTTTTGCTAAAGTCCCTAGATTGAACAAGTACCGCAACCGATTGTTCTTGGCGATTTGACATATGTCAATTTATATAAAAAATTTACAAAATTAAGTTATCGTAGTGTTTTAGATCGAAACAAAACCTTTAAAGTACCTATATGTAAATTAGTGATTTAATTAGTTTACATAGTTTCAATTTTAGAAATAGAGATTTTATTCGAAAATGGCAGCTAATTGGGATACTTTATCAGTCTCTAGAGACTTAAATTCTCAGTAAAGTCCCTAGTTCGACCAAGTACCTCATTTTGCCACCACATGGCAGTATATTTCGGTACTTTATCAATATCTAGGGACTTTAATTTCCGTTCTTGCTAAAGTGTCTAGATTGAACAAGTACTGCACCAGATTGTTTTTGGCGCTCTGACAAATGTCAATTTGAAATATTTATATAAAATTTACAAAATTTAGTTATTGTAGTGTTTTAGATCGAAATAAAACCTTCAAAGTATGTTAAAATTAGTTCAATTTTGGAAATAGAGATTTTTTTCCAAAATTACGGTTAACTGATGTACTTTATCAGTATCTAGATACTCTAATTCTCAGTAAAGTCTCTAGTTCGACCAAGTACCACATTTTGCCACCACATGGCAGTATATTTCGGTACTTTATCAATATCTAGGAACTTTAATTTCCATTCAGGTGCAGCAGCTTATTGTCTTTTTATTTTGCCAAACAATGTCGATTTGATATATCTCAATTTGGACTATTTATATAAAAAAAACTTTCAAAATTTAGTTGTAATGTTTTTGATACAAGTATACGGCAGGTGAGAGGGGTACTTTATTATTATAGGAATTTTCGCCAAAAAAATTTTGTTTTCGTATTTTCATTTTCTTTTTTATCCTTAAAACGACGTTTCGTTGAACTTCCTTTCACCCCCATTCAAATGCAACCTCTTACTATTATCCTGCAATACAAAGCTCTGCAAACTATGCAACATGTTCTTCGTCTTCCCTACCAGATTACTGTGCGACTTGATATTCTCTTCAGTCAAATCCTCCACGCTAAGATCCTCAAAGGCTACATCTTCCTCGGAAGACGACGAACTTGGAACGTTCCTCGCTATTTTCTTATCACTCTCCTTTTTCTTCTCTCCTCTCTCTTTGCTCACGTGGACTATCGCTGAAGTGGTCACGACGCTGCCGCTGACGGTTTCTTCTTCTTCCTCTGGCCAGGGCTGGGAGATCTTCAGGCTGTTAAACATAGGACTGGAGTATTTGGAGGTGGACGGGCTGAGATAGAGCTTCGGGGCCGCTAGAGAAACAATCTCGTCGTACATCTCCCTCAGTTTTTGGGCGCTGCACAGGGGGGTGTCGAATTCTTCGGTTTTGTTGAACAGGGAGTGGTCGACGATGTACTTGTCCTTCTTTTTGTCGAAGAGCGTGCAGGGTTTGAACTTGTGGCCCCATTTTATTTCCCGGCTCAGGTAGGAGGTTGTTGTCCTCGAGGTATGGGAAGTAGCCAGAGATGTTCCGTCCATTATGACTATTATCTCGAACCTGAAACAAGACAAACAGTTTGAATATTAAAAAGATGATTCATGTTTGATTTTTAATAAATTTGAAACCTTCATTGACTTACTTTTCATCTGTTGCTTTGATTGAAGTAGTGACATTATAGTGCAACAATCACTGAAGCTTAAGAAAAGACCGACAAGATGGCGACTCTACTAAAAATATCTGTCATCAGTTAATAGTATCGATAGCCCCTAGACAATATAACACAACGGTTTTGAGAGTCATATATCTTACAATTCATTAAATAAGCCTACATTTAAACCAAATACCAACATTTCGCCTGTTATAGATGATATTGACATGCAAGAAATTATATTGAGTTCTAAATTCACACAATATTGACTTACCATGTATCATGTTTAATACGGCAAACAAGTATCTGTCTCGCCTAGAAACAACACAGAAACACGAGATCTTTGTTTCGCGTTTAAGCTGAGAGCGAATTTGTGGTTTACAAAAAGCCGGTTTACACAAAAACCGTATGTATCGTAAACCCTAATTTGAATTGTAAAGCGCGTCGCTTCTTTGATAAGCGTGACCATAATTCCGTTTATTAAATCCAATTTTTATAGATTCAGTTTTAAAGGCTTTTCCATTACTGTTACGCTCGTTGAAGAGCAACATCAAGATACCAGGATCGGTGAAAAGTCGATCGAATTAGCCTTGGAAAAGGATGAAATCATTCAGTAACGTTTTGTAATACGAATAGAAGTCAATCTTTAATCGCATTGACTTTGAAAACAGGTCAAGTGACGTTTTGCAATATGGATATAAGTTAATATATAGATGAATTGAAACAGATAAAAAAATTGGAAGACGTTTTGTATGTAAAGAAGAAGTCAATCATTCCCAGAATTAGCTTAAAAAAGAAATGAAATAGTTTTGTAAAATAGATGGAAGTCAATCTTGTATAGCATTGGCTTTGAAAACAAATGAAATACTTCAAATGACATTTTGTAAAACAAATGGATGTCAATCTTCAATCACATTGGCTTTGAAAACAGATGAAATAGTTCAAATGACGCTTTGTAAAATAAGTGGAACTTAATCTTCCATCGCATTGGCTTTGAAACAGATGAAATAGTTATGATGATGTATTGTAATATGGATGTAATATTTAGTTGAATTGACCTTTGAAACAGATAAAATAATTGAATGACGTTTTGTATGTGAACTAGAAGTCAACTACTCACAGAATTGACCTTGAATACAAATGAAATAGTTTTCTAGAATGGATGGAAGTCAATCTTGTATAGCATCGGCTTTGAAAACAGATGAAATAATTCAAATGACGTTTTGTAAATTGAATGGAAGTCAATATTCCATCATATTGGCTTTAAAAACAGATGAAATAGTTCAAATGACGTTTTGTAAAATAAGTGGAACTTAATCTTCCATCGCATTGGCTTTGAAACAGATGAAATAGCTCCGATGGTATATTGTAATACGGATGTAAGTTAATATTCAGTTGAATTGACCTCTGAAACAGATAAAATAATTGAAAGACGTTTTGCATGTGAACTAGAAGTCAATCATTCACATAATTGGCCTTGAAAACAAATGAAATAGTTTTGTAAATTAAATGGAAATGAATTTTGTATAGCATTGGCTTTGAAAACAGATGAAATAGTTCAAATGACGTTTTGTAAATTGAATGGAAGTCAATCTTCCATCACATTGGCTTTGAAAACAGATGAAATAGTTCCGATGACATATTGTAATATGGATGTAATTTAATATTTAGTTGAATTGACCTTGGAAACAGATAAAATAATTAAAATACATTTTGTATATGAATAAGAAGTCAATCAATTACAGAATTGATCTTGAAAACAAATGAAATAGTTTTGTAGAATGGATGGAAGTCAATCCTGTATTCTGTATAGCATTGACTTTGGAAACAGAAGAAATAATGCAAATGACGTTTTGTATATTGAATGGAAGTCAATCTTCCATCATATTGGCTTTGAAAACAGATGAAATAGTTCAAATGACGTTTTGTAAAATAAATGCAAGTCACTCTTCCATCGCATTGGCCTTGAAACAGATGAAATAGTTCTCATTACGTTTTGTAAAATAAATGGAAGTTAATCTTCCATCGGATTGGCTTTGAAACAGATAAAATAGTTCAAATGATGTACTGTAATATGAATGTAAGTTAATATATAGCTGAATTGACCTTTGAATTGATATTTGATTGATAAAATAATTGAAAGACTTTTTGCATGTGAAGATTGAAGTCGATATTCGATCGAATCAGCCTTGGATAGAGAGGAAATTATTCAAATGATGTTTTATAATATGGGTGGACGTCAATATTTAATTGCATTGACGTACAAAGCGATGAAATCGTTCAATGGTGTTTTGAAGTATGAACAATATGAATAGAAGTCAATTTTTCATCGAATTAGCATTGAAAACAGATGAAATAGTGTAAATGACGTTTCACAATATGGATGGAAGTCAATTTTCGATAGAATTGACCTTGACAGTAGATTAAATAGTTCAAATGAGGTTTTGTAACATAGATTCTGTTGGCGAGATCAGAAGTCTATGACACAAAAATGATTCTTCTACAGCATCTTTTTACCTTACCTTTTTAGTATTAGATCTTTTGCAGAAAGGTCCCAGAATGGACTGTTGTCGTTTATACGGTGGACTATCTCGACGGGCCATATCAGTATACCGGCTGGTTCGAGCTTTATGGACTTGAGGAAAAGCTCACCCCGCTTCTTCTGCACCAGATAAGCCGACATGGTCGTCAGACATTCGTATTTGTTGGCAGAATCCCTCACGCGGAATATCAGACACATCTCCCCGTCTCTCTGGTGGACCTGGGAATACTCACGTGTTAAAATTTGATAAATCCAGAAGTAAATCACATTTATTAGGAAATGTATTATTTTTTAAAGCGAAGAAACTGAACATATTTCATGATTTTCAAAATAATCAGCACATAATTAAAAAAAAACTATAAAATGCACAAGTACTCAATAGTTTAAAAAATCCCCGTTGCACATAAATGAGACTCAGCTTTAAAATTCTCCTCTGCTCTTAAAATTTTCGATAGCAGCGTCATTTCCAGCAGACCTAGGTCGTAATCCGTTGGACTTGCTGACCCCTGGCGATAGCTAAATATGAATAATATAGCGTTTCGCGTGAACACCGCCAAAGGGTAGGTGCAACGTCTAGACGGTAAATGTCGGGTTTCCATGAGCGCAAGCCTTTTATTTAACGGCCTTTGAGCCCATAAATTTGCGACATGAGGCGTGCGTATCGTAACATGCAGCGAATTTACAGGCAAGGAATGATACTGTATGTGGGATTACTAGAATGAAACGAAGTAAACTTGTGTCATAAAAAAAAACAAATAAAGATTTCCTCTAGTTTATTATAATATTACAGCAATCTTTTTAGAATTGTGTCTATAATAGTGTTTACATGATCAGTAACTCTGGGCCATGTCTGCTGGATGAAAATATTTTCGACAGCCGTTATACTCGATATAAGAATGTTTCTTTGCACAAACAACGATAAGAACTATATGTAGTTTAGTCACACCTTGCTAAGAACACAAGGGATATATAAAGTATTTTAAATATGCATAAGTTGCTCAAGTAATTTGTGAAATAAACTTGTCCGACAAAAATCATGCAGCGTACGAGCAGTCCGACGCCCCAAAAATGTCAAAATGAGATTATGTTTTTTTTTTGTTTTGAAATAAAGTATTGATTACAAAAAAATATGCGGCCGACAAAAACAGCACCGCAAATTAATAAAAAACTGATAAAACATTTAAAATACTTTTTTTTGAAATAAATTAAATAATTTAAAAAAATGGAAATATCGACATCGTACTGATAAAACTGATGATAAAAATGTTAAAAAGCGCTCCTAATTTAGGTCAGGGGTTAACTGTTTTAATTTTTAATAAAGGTATTTTTGTTGAATGTGTGTTTATAATAAAAAAAATTGAACGTTAGGAAGATAATGTTGGTACCTATTTTAATCTTTGATTAATAAAAATATTTTACTATGGGTAATTATGGTAATATACAGGGTGAGTTATTAATAATGGCATATTCGTATTTGCCTATTCAAAAAACGTAAAACTACAAATTTTCAAAACAATCGGTCCATACATACTTAAAATATAGATAAAAAGGAAAAATATTTTTTCAACTTTAACACCCTGTAGAACGAAAAGGAGCAATAATTGATTAAGGCATGTTTGGCTCAATCACTATATTTTGTCGTTAACAATATGTCATTAAAAAGTGTAATACCATTATTAATGATTCACCCTGTATATTATTCCAATTTTTGAATCAACCAAAAATAATAGCAATAATAGCAATTGTACATTTTGATAATTTTTTAGATTCGTTCAACTCGTAATATTAAATAACTAACATTTTTTGAAATAACAATTTACTAGAAAAAATGTATTTTAATTTTATGCTATACCTATTTAGTAATAGGCAATTTAATATAAAAAGTGCGAGGGAGCCACTAACAAAATGAGAAATACGAAGAAAAAAATGCAATTTAATATTAATCAATAAGTACAAAATCTCATTTTATCTGTGAACCCTAGCACTTGTTTTCCATTTTTCATTTAGTCTTTCTTATAATAAAAAAAGTACGAANGAAATACGTTTATTTAAGATCAAGTAATCATATTTTATTAAGTATAATAATATTTTCAAGGACATATCCGTTTTCAAAGAAATATATTCAAAGTTGGGATTTTATTAGTTATTGAAAAAAATTTCCAAATTTTCCAGATATTTCGATGGAAATTATATTATTATGTTACTTCGTAATTGTATATACGAAGGATTTAAAATAAAGTAAGTGTGTGTAGAAATATTTTGTAATATGTACTGTTTATCTAAATAGAAAAGTGTAAAAGGAAGATGCAATTTCTTAACAATATATTTTTTTTGTTTTCTTGTAGGACTGGCGTCTTAACCCGATGCTTTTGTCGGACTTTACTACTTTTCCTTCTAAAATATATGATTCCATCATGTATTACTTTTGTCCGACATGCATGTATGAGGAAACATAATCTCGTCATATTGACATTTTTGGGGCGTCGGACTACTCGTACGTTGCATGATTTTTGTCGGACAATTTGACCACAGTTTGTTTCGCAAATTACATAAGCAATTTACGAAAAATGGAACTTGCATGTATAAGGATACATAATGACGCCATTTTGACATTTTGGGGATGGTGGACAAACTTCAGTATTTAATTCAGGCACTTATTTCTGAGAGTCACGTGGTTGTTGCTGTTTTTTATGAGACTAAACTGTTAAAATAATAATAAAAATAATAACAATTTTCTATTTATTACACCGATTTATGGGAACAATCTGAATTTAGCTTTTTGAACTTTAGCTATTTTGAAATACATGCCAATGGGTATATTAAGTATTTAATAAATTTTCAACATTCCAGGAATTTAGGAATGTCAAAAATTCCTCCTTAGCGATGCCTTATAAAATTCCGGCCATGATTTTATTATAATGAGGCTTATAATAACGATAATGCAGTCCGCGGGGAGCAATACCGGGAAACTTCTAGATGCGAGGGCCCGCAGCTTTTAAAAAGTACTAAATTTAAATGTCGATCCGCCCGATTACGAGTAATGAGGGCGAATTTCGGCCTTAAACAGTTTCCACGGGAAACATAAAAGCACTGGCTTTGAACGGGCTTTAACGTCTACCTGACGTGATTAACAAAACTGTTTAAATTCCAAATCAATCGGTCTTTATTTTAAAATTGCTTATATTCGTTAATTTCTGAACCCTCGCCACGGGAGCCATTGAAACAATATTCGTTTGTAAACCCAATAAACTTTTAAAATAAAGAAACATACACAAAGCGTTATTTTTTATCACTTTTAAATGCCAGTGCCACAATTGTATGAAGAAAATTCAAATAAAAAAGAAGTAGAAGTAGGAAGTAAGTAGATTGAGATACTTGCTTGTAGATATTAAATAAAATCTAGTTTGAAATACTTAAAATTATATATTTCCATTCCCCAATCATTATTTTTTAGCCAATATACATAAATAAATGTCAAAAGTTACAAAAGAAAATACCAAAAGCATGAATAAAAGCTGTTGAAGAGAAGATTGTGGAGCCACAACCTCAGCACACCGTTCGAGGACATCAACTAATCGACATGAGTACATGGCACAAAGCATGCACTGCTCTTTTTGCAAAGAACTTTTACGTATTATTATCTGCAAACTGTGATCACGAAGTGATTACATTCAATTCTATAATATTTTATTTAATTAATTGTATTTATTGCTGGAGAAAACTGTCTCTTTTTATAATTTTTATAAGAATACAGTAACAGTTGTTTTAAATAGTATAAAATACAGTACTTACATGTAATGCTGATATTGTTAACATTCAATAATATTCTAGACAAAATTTACGCAATAACAGTTAATTTTCTGACCACGGCAAATAGAGTAGTGAACACTTTCTTCAAAGAAATAATTGACTTGTTTTTAAATACATACGTAAAAAGAGCTTCTTACTTGTGAAAATACCGAAAGCATAATGAAATTACAAAAGAAAACCTGAAAAGTCAATAAAAATGTATTTTTCGGGGTCTGACGATGACTTTTAATTTAATTTTGACGAAACGTGGTGAAAGTATATCTTTCTGTGTCTCAAATAACCACAATTTTTTTTAGATAAAAAAAACAAGAAGTTTCCGAGATATTAATTTTTTCCGGTCTGAAACACTTTTTCTTCAAAAATTCTACTTAAAAAAATCATCGTACACAGTTCTGCCGGTAATCAGTAATCAGTTCAAAAACATGCTCAAAAATGCAAAAAATAAAAAATGACTGACAACAATACATTTTTTCAGAATTAAAAATGACTACATTTTGTCATAAAAATAGCAGTGACGTATTTAAAAAAATTAACCCGATGATCGCTCCTCGAAGACGAAATGTCGGATTACAAAAATGTTGACGCCACTGTATAGAGCGAAAAAATGGCATTGTAAATATGTAATTTATTTTAAAATTCGTTTTCAAATAAAGCCAGGAAAAAATTAAACAATTTTGCAAAATTTCGGTTTTTTCCGGATCTAAAACTTTCTAAACGGCATATTGTTAGGTATAAAAAACACAACTTTTTTCTAATCTGAGCCACCCCGTATCTCTTACCGTTTCCTAGATCCTAATGCTATCCCATCCTTATCTTGGACACACTGTATATCTATGAGTTCATTAAAATTAAAAAAAAATAAGTACACTAATCGATTCTACAGAAAAAAATTATTATTTATTTTATTTATTCATTATTCGACTTATGCATTGCTATAAAATTCTGTACAAAAATAAAGTGGTCAAACAATGAGACAGTTTTTTTTTAATTTTTTTTTCGTACAATTGAATGGTGTAATCAGTTTTTGATTTTTTTTTTAATTTAAACAAATTATCTTCAATTACTGAAAAATTCATTGTTGCAAGTCATTTTTTATTTTTATTGCATTTTTGACCATGTTATTGAACTGTGATTACAGATTTTTTTATTTCAACAAAAAGTATATGTCAAAACGACAAAAATTATCACCAGCAGAACTCTGTACGATGATTTTTCTAAGTAGAATTTTTCGTTGAAGAAAAAGTGTTTCAGGCCGGAAAAAATGAATATCTCGGATTTCTTGATTTTTTTATCTAAACAAATTTGTGGCTATTTAAGACACAAAAAGGTATACTTTCACCAAGTTTCGTCAAAATTAAATTATTTTTGCGGAAATGAGAAATAAAACGATTAATCAGAAAAAAACCGTTGTTCCCATTTTTTCTCGGAAATTTTGATGTTATTTTAAAAGTGACCTCTACAAAAGTTGTAGATTTTTGCATGTTCTACAACTTTTTTATTGGACACTTTTTTGTTTGACGTCAATTTTCGCCAGAAATCCCAATGATACAATTTTTCACAACTTTTCAACCCTCCAAATCAACCCTCCGCCGCCCCTACTCACGCTTTCATTTATTTTTTTTTTCGTTTATTATAACAATTTTCTTTTTTTTTCCTCTAAATGAGTTTTTCGATCGGTCTATATCTCAATAATACGAAATTGGCTGCATTTTCCGATCCTCCTTAATTCCTATTTTTTTAAATTTTTTGCACTGTCACATTTTTCGCAATCTTTCCTAAAATTTACCACCGGCCAACTCACCACAGCAATCTTGCTGAAACAAGCCATCGAATGGACCTTCTGCGGCCCTATCATCTTCATGTAGACGATGCATATGACGCTGCCGCAGATGATGACGCCCACTATGATTTGGATGCACATCAGGAACACCGCTTCGGGACAGTAGCCGTTGATATAGCGGTTGCCGTAGCCGATGGTCGACTGTGTCTCCACGCTGAAGAGAAGGTACCCAGCGAAGCCATCTATACCTTAGAAATAAAAGAATAAACATTTTAGTTTATTAAAGACAAAGTTCCTGGGGGAGTACAATCCCCTTTGCATCCAAATGCGGACCTGCTACTTCTCAATAGAACCAGTTAAAGTTCTTACCTTCCAAACATGGTTCTCCGTCCACATCCATGCTTTCCGAAGACACGATCATCCACAGTCCGGCGAATATCAACCAAGTGAGGTTGAAGGCTATGCATACTATCAGTAGAATCAATTTCCAGCTGCCTTCTATGAGGGTGTTGGTGAAGTCCCGCATGTACCGGAAGGTGTGTTGGGAGTTCTCCGTGTTCCGGAGTATGGCCGACTTGCCGCTTTTCCGGACCAGCCTCTTGACGAGGCGACAGTTGCGGCGATGGAGCAAACTTTGCACGCTGAAATTGAAGGAGTAATACGAGTAGTAGATTTTTGGTCTTCATAAAGATGAAGTGTCTAATTTGTCGTAAAATTTTAGTCAATACTCTCTTTGCTTTTCTAGCTGACCTCCAGTAATTATTTTTTGCTATGATCTGTAACTGTAACAAACTTTGATTAAGATTATCTCCCAAAAAGTTATGAATTTGAATTTGATGATACATTATGCCACACCAGACATTTACCTACTTCTTTATGTTTTTGACTATTAGTTATCAATCGAAAATTTGGATTATGTTTAGCCCAGTATCTACAATTTTGAGAGCAAATTACGCCATTAGTTGTGAATGTTGAATCGTCAGAAAATAAAATATTGTGATGAAAGAATCTGTTTTCAATCAGTTTCTCGACCATAGTTAAATAAAAGTCCAAACAACTACCACCATCTTCATCCAGCAATGTATGATTAAAAACTAGTTTGAATGGTTGGATTTTGTTGTATATTAAAATTCTTTCAATATGAGATCTGCTAATATCTGTTTCCTGACCTTTTCCTGCGTGATATATTCTTTTTTTATCTTTTTAATATTCTTTACATCACCAGTGGTATCGAATTTTATAATTAGCATTGGATACATTTGGATACTTCTCATTAAAAATTTGTGTTGCATATCGATAAGAAACATTACCGATTCCATAACATTTCACAAGATAAATTATGAATCAAAAATTATTCGGAGGGCAGTTAATAAAAATAAATATGTTGACTTTGAAATTGATAAAGAAATATCCATGGTAATTATATGGTATGTTAATTAATTAAAAATTGCGGCATCTTCTTATTTGCAAAATGTGATTATTCTTCTCTTCTGATTAAACCCCGTATTTAAGCATTTCTTGAGTTCTCGAACAACTTAGATAAACACAGTTTTTAACGAAAATAAAAATTAAGGATACTTTTCTTAGGGAACATTTCACATTTTGAAATTTTTTGGAAGCCCTATATTAGGGTGGCTCAAAAAAACGAATATTTTTTTTTTCGTGCTCTTGTGAAAATATGTTAGTTTATCATGTTTTAAGAGCCCCCTCAAAAAATCAGCTCAAAATAATTTTTTTAGAGGTCTCAAGATTTTTAAAAATTTCCAAAATCATCAAGAATAGAATTTTTTTCTCCATATTTTATCATGTTCTAGGTAAAAAAAAATCGCAATTCTGAAAATTTCAGATCGATATTTTAATTTCTAAAGGTCACTCATAATTATTTTAACTTTCAATGGAGTGTACCTAAAACGTTTTCGAGCGACCTCTAAAAATAAATATCAACGAACTAATAATTTTTTTATTGAATTTGATGAACAAAAGAATAGAAATAAATCACGAGACACTTAAAAAATTTCTCGATGCAAAATTTACTACCGTGAGTGTCAAATATTTATAATTTTTTAATTTTTTAAATTAAAGTGACTCGTGATTTATTTCTATTCTTTTGTTGATCAAATTCAATAAAAAAAATTATTGGTTCGTTGATATTTATTTTTAGGTCGCTCGAAAACATTTTAGGTACACTACTTTGAAAGTTAAAATAATTTATGAGTCACCTTTAGAAAAAAATATCGATTTGAAATCGAGATTTCTTTGAACCTAGAAAATGAAAACAACGAGAAAAAAATCAATTTTTGACGATTTTGAAAATTTTTAAAAATCTTGTTTTTGCGCTGATATTTTGAGGGGGCTTTTAAAACACGACAAATTAACATATTTTCACAAGTGACAAGAAAAAAATATTCTTTTTTTTTTTGGGCCACCCTACCCTATATGTTCTATTACATATTTGATTACTACCCATGACTTCCCAAGTTAACCAAAACTATTTATCAAGAATAGCTTTTTCTCGAAAAATCAACAATAAAAAAGTTATCAAGAGTGCGGTACTCCACATGGGGACACACTGTATTTGCATGCTGTACTTTATTATGTTCTTTTTATTGTCTCAATTAAATTTAACCAACCTTCTGTGCAATAAATTGCGTATCAAAATAAAGTATTATCTTTTATGATATTATTGTTACTAAAACAAATAAAGCCAATAAAAATATACCTTGATCTTCGTCTGCTGTTCTTCCTGTACACGTAGAACGGGTAGAACTCGCCATTTTTGGCACTTTCCGTGCTATTGTCCACGGTTATATCGTCCGCCCCCTTCGGCATATTCTCACCCCTTTCCCCTCTCCCTTTTCGCGAATAGTCTCATTCTCTCCTTTCTATGCACCGCACGTGAGAAAACTGGCTGTGAAAATTGCTTTGGTGTAGGAATTGTTTAAAGTGCCTGCACAAATTAAACAAACCAGGCGACACACACGTATGTTTTTAGCCAGTAATTCCTTTAGTCATATCGCCGTTTTATCTTCGCTGAGATAAAGGGGATTTAGGTAATATAAATATTTAAAGCTGTTTTCTCGGCGCAAATAAAAATGTGTGAAAATATGTTTTGGCGATAAGTCATCGGGTATGCGAGGAATTTCTTGTTGGGTTTTTGGTTTGCGAGTGTTTAATACTCTTAGAACTATTTGCGATACAATTTATTTCAAATATATTATTTTGTACAGAAATTTAATTAATAAAGATCAAGAAGTACGGTGAATTGGACGAGGGACAGTAGCGTGGCCACCGCGGTTACCGGATCTAAATCCTCTTGACTTTTTTATCGGGACATTTAAAATCTGAAATATATCGTAATAAAGTGGAAAATGTTGATGAATTACGTGGACATATTACAGCTGCTACCAATAATTTACGATTGCAAAACCAGTAGCTCAAATTCCACTAGCGTGTAGATAAACACTTTTAGGTAACTTTCGAAGAGTCATTTTTTAATTATTATTTAACCGGTTGTCCAAAGAATAAGGTGAATTTGTTTAAAAAAATAAAGAAATCTTTATTTATGCTTCCAAATCAATTTCGATCTTTGATTTGATTAACGTGTTGTTCATCAGTTGACGTTGATGGTGGGCAGGGATGATGTTCGTCCTTAACGCTTTCTCTGCCTTCTTTAAAGTCTTTATACCACTTGTAAAAAATTTTTTGCTACATAAACTCATCACTAAAGCCTTTTGTAACATCCTCAACGTTTCCGCGGCAGAATACTCATTCCGCAAAGAAAATTTAATGCAAATTCTTTACTCGACAAAATCAGACATAGTGAAAATATATAAACTCACTTCGTATGTTTACAAAAACACGAGTAGCTTTGCAGCAATTGAACATATTGACTTGAAACTCTGCATAGATATCAAGGGCAGTACTACCAACCTATAAAAAAATAATTGTATGCTTTCATAGTACCATAATTCACCTTATTTTCTGGACATATTGGTGGAATATCGTATTTGTGAATCACGCTGTAGAGGGGTATACAAATAACACATTTCTCGTAAAATTCGGAGCAATTTGATACCTTTGACTCTAATATATTGCTGTTCTTCGAGTTGTAAAGTTCTTTAATCCCCTAATTTCATCTTTCTAATGTTGGCATAACTTCACATTTCAGTGGGAGAGCGCAGCAATGCAGAAATAAATCGGTTTATCTGGAATTCGAGGTATTCCAGCAAAATATTTGTGGCGAGAATACGGTCAGTTAGATGGGTATAGCTCAGGAGCAGATATGCTAAATCTTATCAGTATTTTCGTGTTCCTAATATCTACGAGGAACTAATAATCTAATTAAAATACGGGGTGTCAAATTCAGCAGCTAATATGTTTTCCACAACAAAGAATATTTTAATAACAAAATTTGTCTTTTTTTCGGCTCAGCTTACAAATAATATAAGGAATAATTATATAAAAAAAGGTAACTATTAACTAACTTTATTTGATCTATGTAATACTGAGTATGTCTCCTTATATTATTTGTTGCCTACCAGACAGGGGCATCTGTTATATCTAAATAGGAACGAATATGGCTGTTTATTTGTCAGATTTTGTCAGAGCTCGTGAAAATAGTGAAATATTTAAGTTATAACTGATTGGATTATGCTTATTTCTGTACAAGTAAGTCCTGTGGTTTATTATTTATACTTTGCAAAGATTTGATACGAGATAAAGCATGATTTATTGGTGATAGCTAGCAATATTATAGTGCAATGTTTTAGGTACTTGATACGTTGCAGAATTTGAAGTTTTCTTTGCTGGAAACTACGTAGAGGCTTGCAGACTATTTATGGGGCCACTGGAAACTGCTTTGGAACTGCTTTATACTGCTGGTAGCGGAAAATTTTCATGGGATGACAAAATAACTTTCTCTGAACTATGGCAAACTGTGAATTTAACTGGTGAGTGTTTAATTTTCTTTCTTGGACTGTTGTTTCTTGCTTTATTTTTAAATTTTCAGGAGCTGTACATCTTGCAAAACCCAAGCCGTAACCAATCAATATTTTTTTTGTTACTCATCCTTCCTGAATATTCTGTCCCTAGCTTTGCTTAAGGTCCATACACAGATTTTTCACTCTTAGATGTCCTTTTCAGTCACTCTTTCACAACACTACTATAACTAACACATTTTTAACAAATGTCTTTTTATTTTTATATACAATTCTATACATTAATTAATAAAATATTCTTTATTTTATGTTTTTTAGGTCATCTCCGGGTATTCTTACAAAGCCACCTTTAGCTTTGACATTTGTGAAATTTATTATAAAATTTGACAATTGATGAAAATATTGTATATAAGTTGAATGGCCTAATTTGTATATCGAAACGTTTATTTAAATTTCCCGCCACCTAACCTCATTCATACTCTATTGCGCTGTTGCCGTTACTTGCTCACGTTTATTACTTAGCGGACATGTCAGAACTTTTTATGATTGATAATGTAACCTACTTTTTTCGTCTTACAACTAAACATTTTGGCAATCTCATATTTTACGACTTAAGAACTGACTTTCACGCTTTTTAACTGAAATGACATCATCAGTACTTAATCCAAATTATCTCAATCGATTGGAATCAAATTTGTTCCAAGGCGATATTTTCCTTCCTTTTCCCTGTTCGCTCTAGAGCTCATTTACGCTAAGGATTGCCGTTTGCTGTTTACACGTATTTAAACAGAAATTAGTCTGTATCCTACACCTATGTTTACGTTATCTAGACTGAGATGCGAGTCTGTATTTGCAAAGGACCGATTCTAGGGGTATGCGGGGCAAAACCCTTCTTTCATAAGCGTACATCAGATGTTCCACTGAAAGAAAATCTGGGAATGGTGTTTGCCGTCTGCGTCTTTGCTGCTAACAACTTTGGCCTTACAAATAAGAACTTTGGAACAGTTGTTAGTTCGGTTCTATGTCTCTAGTGTTGATTTACGGTCTGGAAAAGAAATGGAAATAAAACTGTACTAATTTTTCTTCGAAGAATATTTATATCGTATACTCAATATGATTCGTTGATTATTATTTTATTTAAGAACATTGATTTGGGTAAGATATACATATCTTACGTATTTTATCATTAGATTGTTAGACTTAGTTAAACATTCTTAATATTTTTATACAGGGTGTAAGAAATTTGACTGCTATTACTTGAGCTGCTAATAATTGAGGATTGTCTTCGCTGTACAGCAAGAATAAAACGCTCTCTCAACGGTAATAATAAAGTATTTTATTGAAAACTAAGTTGTATAGAAAAAGACGTGTTGACGGGGTGAGTGTTCGTTGGAGAGTCCCTGTGTGTGGAGTCGGTCGTAGGTATATGAGTACGCATCTGGTCGCCAGCGCCAGTCCGCCGTAAACCCTTCCTGGAACGATGGTGCGACTTTGATCTGCCCATGGATTTTCCTTTGCAAATGCTACGTTTGGACAATAGCATATTTCTTATTTAAGAAAGAGTTATATTTAAAGTTTGCGCCTGAAAATCGACGACTTAAATGTAGCAAATAGGAAACAACAAAACGACGGTAGAAATTGAATAGAGACGGTAACAGACACGGACAACGGATGCTTCTGAAAAATGCACAAACGTCAATTTAGCGTCATCGGTCATAATGGTTCGTATACAATAAACAGTAACAAACCATTGCGTCAAAAACGAAATGTTGCTTTTTAACGTAGTCTTAATATTACTGATTGATTTTTTTTTATTTAATTTTATCAGAATTTAATTGCCAACGTGAAGGAAATAAAATTACTCTTTCAAACAAAATTATTGGTCATATGGCTTGTAATTATTTATAAAGGAGAATTTAAAACCATTCGATTTTTCATTTTAAGCGTTTTAACTGAAAATTTTCAAGTGCACGTTCGGTATACGGAGTGGATACGTTCTTAGAAATACGTCGATAGATGATTGCCCGTTTCGTGACTAACCACCGGAAAATGGAAGCAATTTTCTCCAATATTTTACTCTTTGGCAAAAGAATTAAATTATAGCGAGATTTAGAAGCCCGCTCTGTGATAAAACTTTTAAAATTGTGCAGTTTTACTGCAGCTCCGACGGAAATAAAATGTGGCTTTAAAAATTACTCTCATACGCCTCCAATCCAATATCCAAATCGTTATTGTTAAATTTCACTCAAAGAAAAATAACGGCAGAGTAATTGTACCACATCGGTCTATCCTCAAAGCATAAATTCGAATGTAAATCTGTGCAGCACACACTTTTTATATCCATTTTACTGCCAAGGATGGAAATTAGAAAATAGCTTTATATCATAATCCGTTTTACCCACTGCTTTATTAGAGGAAAATGAGAATTCTAATAAATATGATTTGTTCCAAATTATCTTCCATCCGCTCGCACTGGCTGCAAGCTGGAGTCTTTGTTTTGTTCACCAGGAAATTTATTGGACTTGCTGTTCTGAAACAAACTCGCTCCAAAAGTTCGCAATCGCATGAAACAATTAGCCGCTGTAATTTTCATCTTAGGAACTCAAACATCAACAGTTTGACGGCTACCTAAGCGTCGTTAATAGCACTTTTCTGTACACTCTACACAGTTCCAGAGAATTATGTACTTACCTTTCTATTAAATGTTTTGACTTATAATATTACTAGTATTTAAGGAGGTATATCGGGGTACGAGGGAAGTGAGGAGCGCAGGGGGGGTCCTATGCTTTTCTTATGGGACTAAAACCCGCTACCAATTTGAAAAAATTAAATTTTATTGAAATTCATAGAATACGTATTGACTAATTAACAACATACAAATATCATATTTAA